ATCAGGAGCTGTCTCTTATACACATCTAGATGTGAATAAACCACCAGTACTTCCTAAAGTCGTGCCCGTTAACGCTACGCGATTTTAGGAAACGTACGGGCCACTACAGGAGCGCCCAAATTCATCCAACTTGAAACGTTTCTACTCTATTTTTTTCCTTTTCCGCGGCCGAGAGGTGGGCCAAGTACTGGTGGTTTAACTGTGTACTCGTGGGTTATGGCCTAGAGAGTGGTTAAGAAAAATTGGGCTCTTGAGGCTGAGGGCACCGGTTCGATTCCGTGCGTGCACATTTGAGCTCCAAAGCGAAAGACAGTACTGACCGACTGACTTGTGCGGAGCAGGTCGTATCTTTCCCAAAAAAAGCTTTGGAAGTTTGAAGAGCATTGACAAAAAAGAGTACCTCAGGGCATGCTCACACGGGACTTTCTTGGACTGAAAGTGGTCGTGATTGTGGCCAGGTGCATAACAATGTTGCCAAAAAAAGTGACGACTCACCCGTGGATTGGTCGGTCTGTGCATGTTTTCTTTCATCCTACTTGCGTTTTTGTTTGGGTTTCACACTCAAGCGCCCGTCTCTCACTTCATGGAGCGCAGGTCTCGGGGAAGATACTTCTAGGAAAGCTGAATGGCCTCGCTCCACTACTGCACATTCTACCTGTACTTGGACTGCTTCTGTGGATCAGATACATCCGGAGTCCGGACTGATGCAACATTTTTTAATGTATTGGGACTACGAGTAGATCCAGATACATCTAGAATGCTGTGCCGTGGAGGCAGGCTTGAAGTGTACGTGTTTGCAGGATATACGTCTTGGAAAGCTGAATGGCCTGGCTCCACTTCTCTACATTCTTCATGCACTTGGACTGTTTCTTGGACCAGATACATCCGGACGAATCCAACATTTTGAATGTATTGGGACCATCAGCAGATCCGGATACTTTTAGAATGTTGTGCAGTGGAGCCAGGACCAAAGTGTAAGAGTTTTGCAGCCTGTCAGTTGAAGATTTGTCTCTCCTCGGCCCACTACCTTTCTTCCCCGACCAGCAATCAATGATTGCCTTTTTTTTTTTTTTTTCGGAAGTCCAGGGTGTTGCGGAGGCCAATGACCAGGGGCCAAGTCCCACTAGCAGCATTGAGCTACCTCAAGGCCTGTATCTGGAATCTGGACGCTTTTGCGGAGATACGCAGAAATGCTGTTGAGTTTCCTGAACTGCACCTCTCCACAAACACGTCCAGATTCAGGCGTTGAGGTAGCTCAACGCTGCTACTGGGACTTGGCCCCAGATCTGCTATACCACTTGGCATCCATTCCCAAGGACCGTGTTACCAATTCTATTGTAGATTTTATTTATATATTTATTTATTTATTTATTTATTTTAATTCTGGGATAGAATGCTTCGTCTAAGGCTTGTGCTCCACAGACAAAAAATGGTGATTTCCGCAAAGGATATCGGGGGCCCACAGCAAGATGGTTTATTTCTCCCCCCCCCTCCCCCGGGCCCCCTCTTGAAGTGGCTGGTGTAGAACTGGGAAGATCTGTCCATGATTGGAAGAGTGCGATCTGGGCCATGTGACTTCTTCTGTAATTTTTGTATTTTTGTATTTTTTTATTTTGGTTTTAAAGGTCCCGTTCTCTAAAATGGACACGGTAGAGGCCGTTCTTTTCTATGTGACTTCTTCTGTAATTTATTTATTTATTTATTTTTGTTTTAGAGGTCCCATTCTCTAAAACAAACATGGTTGATGCCGTTCTTTTCTGCCAAGTATTTCGCTAAAAGGGGTCAGGTGCAGAAGCATTCATGCGCGGCCGTCAGATTCCCTGCTGCCACTGAGATGAAGGTGCTACCGTGCTGGCACAGCAAACTTTTCTATAAACTCACCGAATTTGCAGGCTGTGGAGCCTCCCGAATCATTACCGGAGGGGAGGGATCACTTACGTGTTTACGTCGAGGAAAATCGCCGGCTCAAGTCTCTGTGGATCACAAGGCCCAACTCTCCTATTGTTTTTTGAAGTTGCTTCAACTTTTCTAAGGGTATTCCTTTTTTTTTTTTTTTTTTTTTTTTTTTTTTTTTTTTTGTCTTTCTTGTTCCATCATTGCTAAAAAGTAATGCACCCGTTTCGCCGCGCCTTTTTCTTTTTTGTCCTTGAAAAATCCGGGTTCGAATTCGAACCCAGATTTTACAAGGACAAAAAAGTAATCCGGGTTCGAATTCGAACCCAGGTTTCGCCGCGCCATTTTTTTTTGGACTGTTTTTCTGAAACTGCAGGCACAAGTCTCTGTGGATCACATGGCCCAACTCTCCTGTTGTTTTTTGTTGTTGCTTCAACTTTTCTAAGGGTGTTCCTTTTTTTTATTTTTTATTTTTTATTTTTTATTTTTTGTTCTTTCTTGGTCCATCATTGCTAAAAAGTAATGCACCCGTTTCACCGAGCCTTTTTTTTTGGACTGTTTTTCTGAAACTACAGGCACAATGGAAGGAGAAGGACAAGCCTGCCATGCCGGACGACGGCAATGAGGACGGCAATGGTGGTGGTAAGAAGAAGAAAGACAAGAAGAGGAAAAAGAAGGACGAGAAGAGGAGAACAGAGGAGGAGGAACAACAGAGGGAGGAAGACGAGGAGCAAGAATGGAGAGGTGGAGACTCTCCGGAACAGGAGAGGGAAGACGGAGGAGGTGATGAGCGGAGAGAGGCGTACGGAGATGACGATATGGATGAAGATGTTGCAAGGGTAGGTCCTTCGATGGCCTTAGCCTTCTTTCTGTACCTCCTCACTTTCTCTTTTTCCCTCCTCTCTTTTTTTTTCTTTTTTTTTTTTGATTGTTTTTTTTTGTCCGCATTCGGCCTAAACGTCCG